CGGGTTTTCCCTTTCCTTTATTTACACTTTCAAATATGACCGCTTAACAAAAATGCACGGGCTCACTGGCTTACAACCTTGGTGAATTCATATGCAGGCCTGGTCGCAAATCAATCACCCAGCTTCCACGTAAGACGAACGACCACACCCAGTCTTGACCCGTGGGAACCAAATGTGACGTCATAATGACGTCATTTACACAATTTTAACGATTTATAATCCATTTTAATAAATTGCCTACAATACCATTGAGATTGCTGCAATATCATCTGTTTATTATTGAAATGACTTGAAAATAATAGGTTTGTTTTTTTTAATTGACCCCTGTTTTATATGACGTCACCACGACGTCATAGATATCAGGTAATTTTTATAAATTAAATATCTATATCTAGATAACCAGTTAAATATCAGATTTAGGCGTTACTGCTCTCCTGTGATGTTGTGGTTCGTTTTGTATCCATGGTAACAGTGGTGACGTCATAATTGTGATGACGTCATTTCCTAAAATCTCTTTTCAAGCTCACAGTCTACCAAGACTCTCATGTGTTTTGTACATGTGGTTGTCATGTAGTTTTAAAGCGCTTAGAACAGAATTGGATAAGCGCTATATAAATAGTATTATATTATTATTTGAATAATTTGACTCCAAATCTCACTTTTTTTGTCTACATCGGTATTTTATGGTAAACTTTACAATTTGTGGAGTTTTTGGAGTTAAACAATTTAAAACAAGCAATTTTGAGAAGAATATCCGCCATCTTAGGATCCGCCATCTTGGACCGCCATCTTGAATTTTTTTCAAATCCCATTAAAAAACTAAGTGTTGAGGCAAACAGCTCAAAATGTCTGAAATACTTCTCAAACTAACATTTAATGAATAAAAAAGTGAATTTCGAAGTGTTACTGATGATTTTTAAGAAATTTTCTTCCATATGAAAAAATGACTGAAAACCACCCACCCTTCCTCCCAGAGTTTTTGTTGTCCAAAAACTATTATGGTATTGTGGATTCAGGAATGGGAGCAAGCACAAATAGGTAAAAGATGCATAATAGAACAAGAAATAAGCGTTGAAAATGAAAAATTAAGCATATTGTACATTTTTGAAAACCTATGTGTCAACATGGATGACGATATCAACAAAAAAATTACATCAAAATCTGCCCAGATAAATAAAGTTTAGGAAAAGTCCGAAAGTTTCAGTGCTTTAGCTGTCTTGGTTCGAAAGTTATTGGCATTTTACTCGAGGGGGGGCTCAAAAGGCCCCCCCAGTCTGAATAGGGTTAATGTATCTTTATGCTATAAATCGACTGTTTACATAGACTCACATATACATTCTCTTATATCAAGTAAAGAGTTTGGGCTACCTGGATTATAATAGGTTTGTCCAAATCTACAAATGTCATTAAATTTAGAGTACAAAATGCTCATAAACTCAACTCCACTGACCAAGTAGATAAGACTCGACAAAAGATCGACGTCTTAAACGAGCCTCAGTATGACATTCAACTGANAGTTTTTAAATATTAGTGCTATAATGCATAAACACAATGTCACATTGTTGTGTGTATTGAATTATATATGAGTGCAAGCAAGCAAACAATAAATATAAACGTACCTGTAAAATAAAATAGCAACAAATAGCTAAGCATTGATTAACACTAATTTGATCTAAATTATGAGATGAATCCAGCATTCTGATTGGCTAATGATTAACAATTATTCCTGGTTAAATCGATGTCTCGTGAACGCCGAAAAGAGTCATTGTCCTCTCGACTCTGTGGTTCAATTAAAAAAAAGGAAAAAATAGTCAGCTAGACAAGAAATTGGAATTTAGGAAGGTATTTCATTTTCAATCCTCCCCAGTCTTCGCTCGGGCCTCACCAGTCCACTTATATAGTGCCGCTACACAGGCTAGTATGACAAATTCAAATTTCTTTTAGAATAGGCTTCCTGTTTAATTCCCCTGTGATCAAAGCAACTGCTATTTGAAATATACTATTTGATCGCTAGTAACTAAATGAAGTGTGAGAAAGTTGCCCTATCGCGCGCGCGTTGTCGTCCAATTCAAAACGAGCAGCCAAAGGCAGTTGTAATTTTCGTTTCACTCACCCGATTATTTATATATAGAGTCATCACACTTGTACCGTGAAATATGATCAAAATAAATAGTAAATATTAGTGTCTATTTATTGACTAATAGTAGATATTACTGAACCGAACACAGTTCATGAAAACAAAAGGCAATACACAAGAGACTTGACAACTTCCATCTTTTATTTCATGTACAATCAAGACACAAGACACATCTAAAGCTAAAATAACCACACAGTACGCAAGGAAACGTGTTTTACGAATCTTGATCTATTTGCGCTGCTGTAGAATCAAGACACAAGACACAAGACACATCTAAAGCTAAAATAACCACAAAAACGCAATAAACGCATTTGGAGTCTTTATTGTCTGCGCCGCAGCAAAATTATGACAGAAGACATTTTAAGGCTAAATTGAAAATACTGTAACAATAGCAAACCCAGTAGAGTGCAGACACTAAGTCTGTGAAATATGTACAAACTTATTAGTGCTTAACTAGTTCTAAGTTAGTTCATATTAGTAACTAGCACNACTTTCTAACTCGTTGATGGATGGGATGACGAGTCTTTGTCCTCTTTAGTTTTAAGGAATGCACTCATATCCAAATATAGCACTCTATCGCTGGATGGTTGATGATTTTAATTGCTCTATTCAGCAAGATGGCACTGTTCAGCTACAAAAAGGTGGTGTACTGGGTTATCCTACACTACCCCCCCTCCCCTCCCCCTACACCTACGCACGTGGTTTCCATTGCAATACGGATCATTTACGATGCTGTGTGTTCATAATAAACTCCATTGTGCAATTATAAAGTGCACGCTGGTGTTTATAAAAAAGTGTGAACAATTCTTGATTACTTTCACTCTTGGCTAGCACCATTGCTTTTCTTTGGACTAATTGCATAATAATATATCATGATTTTGCTTCGTGATTTTAACTGCCGTTTCCACTCTACAGCTAATAATTTGTTTCTTGTATAAAAATCTATATTGTTATATATTTTTAATTTTGTCACTATATATATATATAATAACGGATTGGTGAATTGTGATCTGATTACCGCAGGATTTGTAAAATGATTGCCGGGCTAGTTACAAAAACACCAAATGTTTCTTATTGGTACAGTATATTCAACAAATTCAAACCTGTATATGGCTAGTATATAACACTTCAATGCACAAAGACGGTTATTATTTCCGACATAATTCGTTAGATAGTTTGCATTAATGCTAACGAAGCCGGTTGTCGCTACTACGTGGCAATTTTCATATTTATCCTGAAATATGAAATCCTATTTTTTCCTAATTTGCTAATTTTTTTCGTCATACTTGAAATCGTGGATATTTCATGTGCGTAAATCAACGAAAAATTGGTTTCCGCACGGTTTCCGCTAGAATATTCTAATCAAAACAAACTAACTCTGAAACTACGCACAAAAGAATTAATTTTCCACACAAGGGAAACTCATTTGAATACTGAGACCACGCGACAAATGACCGTTAGACTTCTCTTGACTTATGAAAACCTATACCCTTTGAAGAATATTTCTGGCATTAGAAATTGGTGGCAGAGACACTCATGGCTTTACTAAAAACATAAAAAATTKACTTTCGTTTGTATAAACTATGTTCTGACACTCTTCTTTGAAGACAAAGCACGCCAAGACCGGTTTCATTCAACAGTTGGCATCAAATGTCTTTCTTGCTTCCAAACAATCAATGAAAACAAGAATTAAAGGTAAGAAAGCAAAGAATAGAATAGTTTAGTTAATATTACAAAATTTCAAAGTAGACTTCATTGTACATATAATATATTGTTCAAAACTCCCGTAAATTTGTACAATTTGACGTGGTAAGTGCATGATATTRAACGGCGACCTGTGCTGTCCAGCTGGTCAACGCGCTCTGTCATAAAATTATGTTTCATCAAGTTTATTAGAGAAAAAAACTAATTCCAATTCACGTTTTAGTCATTTGCGCCTCKTTTTGACCTCTATATTTTACAGTAGCTTGTTCTGTCATGATAAAAAAATTTCAACTGAAGTAGTTTTATTTGATTGAGTATTTCTTTAAGTGAACGGGTCAGRAAAGCTTGTGATTAATCTTGAAGTATATGGGTTTGTTAATTCTAAACCTTCTAAATCGGCCTTGTTTTCTTTCAAAACAAAACAAAAAATGTATTGCTCGCCGCCTTGCGTTCCTTAATTCCAGGTATCCAACAATTCCATTCCTCTTTTTACCAAAAATATCAATGAATTAAAAAATATAACGTTCTTTATAATCGATGTAATATTGCTTATCTTATTTCAGCAGGATGCGTTGAGAATTATAGTGATCAATATAAACTAGAATTATCAACAGGAACATATTATACCCTTTGTAACTAGATCAGCCATGATACGAAACGTGTCCCTTCCTCCTCTTAGTTCTTTTCTTTTTCTTTCCTTTTTTTCCTTTTTTTTAAGTCCGTTTTTTCTTTACATATTATATTCAGTTTTTATTAGTTTCCCTTTTTGCTTCTCTTTACATAGCTTTTCATCTTTCATTTGTAACCGTTCTTATTGGTTTCATTTACCATGTAAAATGACGCGAACTTGACGACGCGATATGGGAACCCTCAAGTGAAAAAACAGCAATAATCCGAATGGCATTAATTTGATTAGAATTTAAACCATGCATTACTGAGATGTTTTTGTAGTGATTCGAAATAATCGGCAGCAGATCAAAAATCTGATATGTCCAAAATGTATACGTAAAAAGCATGAAAATCCGCACTGAAAATTATCCACGAACCTGTCTATCCCAAATCCCCCTAAACTTATTCTAAAGGCTAACGAGAACTTAAAACAGTCTAAGTACTCCAGCTTCAAATCTCAGCATTTTTACCAGGACAAAAAGGAGTCTTTCTGATGCAGTTGATTAGTTGTTGTAGTTTAGCCGGAGGGCAGGCCATTAATCTGAAGCCAAAAAAAAAAAAAAAAAAATACACATAAAAAAAGAGAACTCTCATCAATCAATCAGTTTAGGACAGTAGATTCATTATATTTTGTTGATTCCAGGCTTGACTCAGATTCTTACAAATTGATCCAACTTATTTTAAACTATCACGGCGCAAGCTTTTCCATCTAAGTTTAGCGCAAATCCTAATAGAGGAAGTTTTGATCGCGTTCATGGTCAAGTGTAATTGATATTGTCATAACAACGCCTGACGCGAGGCGTAGAAAATGAGTTGGCGTCGCACCCGCACCCTAGCCATGTTTTGCATGCCAGACATCTTTAGCTTAACTACAGTTGTGTAAATCTACGACAAACAAACAAGGGCTTTTTCTGTACATTGTACATGAATTGTGCAATATGGCATAGAAGTCTAATATGGAGGTAAATCATAACTTTGATATTATTACAAACGGTCAGAGAGTGACGCCGTCCGGGAGGGGAAATTTAAAGTTCAGTCTAAACGTGTCGTAGATTTTCTTGGTTGGAATTTACAATCATATTATTAGTATTTTGATCAAAACTTTGAAACAAACTGATAATTGTAGAGATTTGATTGTATTGAAYCGTGCAAACATGGATTGTGCTGATCATAATACGCGTCGTGATTTAAGCGTACGCGTCGGGGTCTCGGATAACCACGCTCTCAGCTTTCTCTCGCTCTGTCAACAAATCCTGTTCGCAAAATGTCGTTAAACAGTGAGGGAATATCTCAATGTTTCACAGGAATTAGTTTACTTAGAAAGCATATTGTGGTTAAAAGAACAGGGAAACACTAAACGTGACTTCACCTTTATAAACATAGGAATATGGCTACATGAGCTAAGCTTATGTCATCAAATGTAGCTATTTAAATGGCCCAACAATCAAAGCATGAACTATCTATCAAGATATGAAGACAATTATTTACACAAGGCAAATGACAACGACCATTGTCTGAATRCTATATTAACTGTTTAATTAAATCTGYCAAAAAAAAGTTTTTCCCCCGATGCCCTGAGTTACGTTTTATAGAACTTGAGCCGTGACTATGTAGTCTGGTATACGGTTATGAGCTCATTTCCGATATACCATCATTTTACCCCTAAAAGGAAAATGTTAAGTTGCTTTTGGACTACAAAGACTCTGAAACTCGAACGAGATAAATTCGCAAGAACTTTTTTTYCCCCTTTTTGGAGACATCATTCGCAAATCATCACACTCATTCGATTCGAGTTTTCCTTACATGTTCYTTACATACTTGGAATATAAAAATTTTAAAATGAAACATTTCTAAAAAATAGTTTAAAATAATCAATTTTGTTGTCCTGCAGATGACTTACTACAAATGGAGAAAGATCTTTTACTTCTTCAGATTAAAATAATTATCCAGAAATTTGTGCACTTTCGATTCAAACGTCTCGGACGGACTACAATTTAACAAGTTTAATTTTATTGCAATCGAAAATTCACTCCTTGACCTAAGCTTGTCAATAGAAAGTAATGCTGTTATCGAAGTAAATTTTGCATTGCATGTACGGATGACATCGTGACCTACCTATAAGTTATGGCATATGTAATTTGCTTATTGGGAACGAGGGAGTATGTGGATCAAACTATTTATTTTTTATTATTTTTTATTCATTCAAATGCTTTCTTGGTTATAGTTAATACGGCCAAGTATCATTCACAATTCTCAACCGCAATTAATACGCTAAAATCAAAACATCAATTGCATGTATTCTAAAGGCTAATCTCGTCAGAATTCAAATGTTCCAATTGCATTTATTTTTCAAATACTGATGACCGATCGTAGCCGATATAAATAGCTTTCCATTATTATTAAAACTTTATCACATGAGAACAGTCTAACTCCAGCTCTATCACATGAAAATCATTCAGATACATCGCARGTCAAAACACATAACTCTTATCGAGAAGGAACCGGGAACGCGTTTTTGACACTTTGCTACATTTCTTTGTAAATTCTTGCATTTTTGAAAATTCCTATATAGGAATTTACCATGATTTTAGCCAGCTTCTAAGTGAAGCATATTCGTTGGTATGCAGTTCATGGCAACCATTTTTGATCGATTCTTTTCAGTTTCATATCACAACTGAGAGCGCTAATACTTCACGTATTACTGCATGTCTTTTGTTTCAATTTTCAACCGATAAAASTGAAGGAATTGACACTCATTTGATACCCCAGGGTCGGAAAATTTCAACCAAGACTTTTAGATTTTCTCAATCAACAGCAAATGTAATGAACAAGAGCTATACATACAAACAGAAATCCCAAGGAATCAGTTCTTATACAACAACAACAACAACAACAACAACAAATTTTTATTTGGAGTTCTGCACATAAGGGTACATAAACATTGGTTCCAAATAATATAAGGGAATGTATAGATAAATATGTTTGTTTTTTAAAAAGTTACTATTTCAATATTTTGTCTTAATATTTTGTCTTACTTCGCAAGGCAAAGCATTCATAAAAATACTTTGCTTCTTGCGTTTGTAATCTATTTGGAGGATCTATTAATTTTAGAAAAAATTCTTCCTCCGCAATAAAATCGTGAATGTTATTTTGCTTAATAAATTTATCTCTAATCTTAGAGTATAGGGGGCATTTAATAAGGAAGTGTTTTTCATCTTCTACAGCTGCATCTTTACAATGAAAACACTTCCTTTCCTCTACCTTTTTATAACCACCTGAATATCGACCTTTTTCAATTTCTAGGTCGTGGTTGCTTATTCTTAGCTTAGTGAGGGCTCGTCTGTGATGAAATTGTTTAACTTTTGTCAGTTCTTATATCCATCCTAATAAATGATTGACATCTCTAGGTGATGGAGAAGTTCGAGTTGGCTATCACTGTCTTACTTATCGTWCTGGTAATGATCTGTGTCTACATAGCCGCTTCCTGGACATTATGGAAAAGACAAAAAAAGAAAAATTTGGTGGAAGAATGGCTGGATAAGGAAAGTAGTGCCTTTCGGAAAGGATTCGTTCCTGAGGGGGAAGAAGGGCTTCCTAAAATTACAATCACGCCCATACAACCAAGGCCAGATATTTCTAATGAGGTAAGCAATGAAACACTTTAACCTCGTCCAGGGGCGGATCCAGCCATTTTCTAAAGGGGGGACTGTCGTCAAAAATGGCAGGGAATTTTCGCGGTAATTTGCCTTGCTCAATCAACGTTTTTTATTTGTTATTTGCGTTTTCGTTTTTAACTTTAATCGAAAATTAAACGCAAATGATAAATAAAAAACGACGACAATTAATTGTGTTTTGTGGGTTATTTTATTTTTCGATGTTTTTCTTTTTGTTGTATTTACATGTATATATGATAGTTAAAAAAATTGTTCAGCAAAAGGGGGAGTCGCTGGCCCTTKGCCAAGCCACACCTATCTGCCCCTGTCCTACGAAGAAAACTCTACTCCTCGGGACTGAGACTAGGCTCAGTCTCCAGCCGTCGGGATTTCGTGCGCCCGCGATACTCTCTCCCCTGACGGCTGGGCGCATGGGGTTCGAAACGTGTCGCGCATGTCCGTGACGTTTTTGTGTAATTAGCATATTATGACGTAACGGAAGTGAATTTTTCAGTGAACGGAAGTGAAATATCTSACAACAGCCGTAAAGGTTTTGCTACAAGTCGGGAAATTATGTGAAATGAAAACTTCGCGAAGTAGCRATATAATGTAATAGTTAGCGCTTTAAAAAAGAGAAAGGAATGGAAATTACCCCAAGTAAAACATGTGTAGGGTTTAATAATCCAAATGGATGTATTATCTGCCAGAAAAACGAGCAAAATACACTAGTGGCGCTGTTTGAAAAATAAGAGATTTGCCCGAGCCAGTATAGGAAGAATAACAAGGACATCTTTTCCAAGAACAATCTCTTTAAGAGCCTTTTGCTGTATTTCTCTAAATTCGTCCAAGTTAAACGACTTCAGAGCCTTCAAACAAGCACTTTCAAAGAGAATCTCAAACGACGAATTGTACGCCATTTTGTTACACTGCTGCCTGCTAATTTATTAATGATATGCCCCTGAAAATATCGGGGGCCACTCGCTGATTGGTCAAGACTGACAATAGCGAACCCCATGCGCCCAGCCGTCAGGGGAGAGAGTATCGCGGGCGCACGAAATCCCGACGGCTGGAGACTGAGCCTAGACTGAGACAAGAGGAGAGAAGAAAAAGACAAGCATTGCTTATCTCGGGCTTTTGGTCACACTATCTTCACACTATAACCCACACGTTCCGTAGCCTGTATATCAGAAGAGGCTAACTACACATTTAGCCTTYCACGACCTTCCCTTCATCATTAACACGTATCCGGAACCTTTTAAATAAATACGAGTTTTATTTTCGAATCGAATCCACCGGTCTACTCCAGAGCTTGCTTGTACAGCGCTCTAAACAATATTATATTAAAAAGTGTCCGTTTTCGATCTTCCTCAAGTATCCTTTGTCCTTTGTGTTGCACCCCACAAATTTYCGTTTACTGAGCGTGTACTGGACCCGAGTACTAGAGCATTGTGATAACTATAATTTGCCATTAACGTCCTTCCCTGATTTGTCGTATTAGGTATCAGCATCGCCAACTGACACAGAGGAAGATGGCCTCGGTTATGATTCACAAGATATCGATTTAGGACGGCTGTACTTTGCCCTACAGTACGATCATACAAGGTATGATACARTTATCCATATCGAACAAAATGGATACATAATACGCTTACATGTCGTTGTTCTTAACACAGATCTGTGCTTTGCGTTCGACTGATACGAGGAGAAGACATTCCTATGGAACGTGACATTAGTGCGACATACGTTGGAGTGCGATTACTACCCCTTCGACTCCAAGGTGAACAAGTCCAGCCTTACGAAACATCCATTAATGTGTCATTCCAGGAATGCTACGAGTTTCCATTGGCAGAGAGTGAGCTTGCGCAGCAGACGCTTGATTTCCATATTTGCCGTTATGATCGTTTTTCTCGTAAAGTTGCTATTGGTGACGTGTATTTGGCACTTGCTGAGCTGGGTGCRCAAGGAATTGATATCAGCAAAGAGGTGTATCTGTGTAGAAATTTGATTCATAGTCGGGAGGTAAGCCTTGCAAATAAAGATTTTAGTATATAGTTTAACAAAAAGTATTGCTATATTTGGTGAAAGACAGAGCAGACTCGAAAACACTCTATTGAAACGGCGGGAGGACTGATAAACTATAGAAGAAACCCCCTGAACAATGGACTCACAGTAATAATGACAAACCTGTCCTAACACGCTGCATGCGCATTAATAWCAGGAGCGTTGCTCCCTTGGGCATCTATAGTTTATTTTGGGATAAAAAGGAGGGGACAAACTTGCGTTTTCGGTATCCTGACTCACTAGAAAGTAAGGGTAGATAAAAACGAAGTTACAGATTACTGCCTGAATGAGCTACATGCTRATTAGGGCTGAACGGGTCACAGTTCTAACTAGGAATTTCTTTTTACAGGCATATTATTCTGAGGAAGAAACCAGAGCGAATGAAGAACATATCTCAGAAGGAAAGCCAAGACCTTCGGCAAGGGTACACATAAGTTTTATTTCTTTTCTCAATGCTAACAACAATACTTTATTCAGTAAAATGGTATAAAAAATATATTATAAAATATATTTTTTATCTATCGACAATCAGTTGGAAGTATATTTTGCGGGCGCAATAAAAAAAATATATAATAGATTGGAATCCAGAAAGAACAAGAAATAAAGAAAAGAAAACGAAATATATTTACGAATATAATGAGGAAAAACGGACGGGAGAAAATTATTGATTTTTATCTGTATAATTAGTCCATTCCCAGACCCTTTTTAGGCCGCACCGTTGAACCGCTGGTCGCGAGAAGAAGGATCCAGAAGAACCCGCATGCCGCATGCACTGCATCATCCACTAAGAACTTGACGTCCAGGAATTGTCAGATTCATTTATTTGTTGTAATGTTTGATTTGCACCTAAAACGTCCTTGACGTGGAAGAACTATTCAAAAATCGTTGCATGATTGAAGATTTGATTTGATGGGCTTGTCGGCCCAATAATTGATAAATGTCTAATCGATGAAAGTGCTTCACTTACAATTGATTGATGTTTTTGTATTGTATTTGATGTTTGTGTTGTTTGATTTAGATTGGTAAACCGCGTCCTGTCAAAGCCTTATCGTTGTGGAAAATCGTTCAAGCAGCTGTACTGAAAGGCAAGTTTCGCGGACTAACACAGTCCTTAGGGGGACAAGACTCGCCGTTCTACTGGGAATCCATGTTCTCCTCCGGTGGAGAAGGTGAAAATGCGGAAGCCAGCCCAGCAAGATTTGCTCCAGTGTTGTACAGGCCGTCCTCGCCAGAGAAAGAACAAGAAAAAGAACAACGCGAAGATGATGACGATGACATCAACATCGATGAGGTAGTTCGAAAAGGTGAACGATCTGGCTCGTTTCTGTTTCCTTCCAAATCAGATGAGGAGGAAGAACAAGATGTCGAAGGTGATCAAGCAGAGATATTACCTACTCCGCTTCAGATTTCCCCTGCTCCCGAGGAGTACTACAGACTAGTTCCTTTTACTCCATACACACCAGCTTCTCCGCTAAAAAAGCCTAAAGACCCCAATGTGTCATGGCATGTACCAGAATCGTTTACGTCCAAAGGACCGGATGTTGTACAGGCGCTGTCAGATATTTATACAGATCCACGAATTGTCACTTCCGCCAATCTACGACAAAATCGGCCTTCTGCGGAGTCGGCCATTTCCGGTATAAAGACTAATGGAAAGAATTCACAAAAAGGACTGCCGCCCCAGGCAACATCGACCGATTCGGACCGAGCGCGTTCCTCAAATAGTACTAAAATGCATTCACGAAYAAAAAAACGGAAACGAGAAGAAACTCGAAAGTTGTCGAGTCCACCAAAGGTGGCTCGAAAAGTTGTAAGGTCGAAACGACATAAACGAAAACGCTCGGGGCAACAGGAAGAAAAAAARGACAGTCAAGCAGAGCCKCATCAACGACGTGCTGCAACCAATCGAGTTTTCAAAATCAAACCTCAAAAGACCCGTTCAATGTCAACATCAAGCGAAGAGGACTTTGAGCTTCATTCCAAGAAATCAGRACATCATYCTTGTAAACCTTATCAAAGAGAAGACACAAAAAKGAAAACTTTCAGTGCGGGAAGAGTACAAAAAATGCACTCGGAAGACCAAGTTTTAGTCTTCGAAGCGAAAGATTTCATTGGTTCTTGTTTCTATCCGTTGAAGAATCGTGCTCAGTCCGCACCAAGTGTTTTGAAAGAAAACTCGATAAGAACTCGACGTGAAAGACACGACACCAGGCCATCTGTTTCGATGTCGGATGTTAGAGACTCTCATATCGACAGCAGTGATGTGTCGTCTGACTTTGAAGAGTTTTAAACATGATTTTCACTGATTTTCGCTGGTTCACAATAACTGCACCATCGCTAACCCAAAAATGGCCTTCTCGACAGAGGTTAATGTTTATCAACGGTTTTTATTCATCATCCGAGTGAAAGCTGTTTCCATACAGTCAAAAAGGAGTTTAAKTGGAAAGAGATTAAGAATATGAGATTTTATTGAGTTCAAGTGGGCTTATGATCCTTGTCGAATCAAAACACGTCGTATCAAAAATGGCCGCCGCTTATTTGCATTTTTTATTCAAAGACAAAATGATCATTAAAATGCCAAAGAATATGCCTCAGTAAGAAGTTCTCAAAGAATCTTACAGTAAAGCGGCCCAATGAAAAAACATTGAGATAATATATTTTAAATCTTTAGTTCATATTGACTTGGATTCAGTAAAAAATGTTAATGAACGGCATATCTATATAATCACAAAATATTACAATGGGATGGGAAACTATCTATACAAATTAAAATGGATTAGAAATTAAATTAAAGTATAGTTAATATTCAAGAAGTATCTATGCCTTGATTAGTAGAGACTCAATTTGTTGTTATCACGACAACGGCTTCCATTCACAAAGAAATTCCAGGAAACCGCTGACGTTTTACAAAATATATAGTGTTTCTATTGTGGGACAAAAGAAGTTATAATGAAAATCAATGTGTATATACAATATTGAAATGAYATTTTGCAAATAGATATAGAATTATAAGAAAGATGTAAATAAAAATACTTATGTTGTGAAGATTTATGGATTTTTTCATTTGATTTCCGATCAAAATCCTTGATACAGACTAATGAGTACCCTGGGAACCAGAGGCTGGATTTGCTCGTTCTTGTAGTTTATATACGGCGCTTCGCGCCGTATATAAACTACAAGAACGAGTAAATCCAGCCTCTGGTTCCCAGGGTAACTAATGAGAGAATGAAGAATACAAGTTACTCTGGGTTATCCATTTTTGGTGTATCCACTCATCAGATGTCGACAATATTATGGTTATTTTTATAAATTTTGTAAAAGACATTAGATGGATACATGCTGCCAATCTTGAAGAGGTTGTCCACCAATTTCTCCAGCTGTCACGCCTGTCTTGATAAATATTTTGTAATGTCCACAAAAATTTCAAAATGCCATTTTCATAAGTCACGTGGCAATTGGAATATTGGAAATTTGTCTTATTAGATGAATACCCTTTTCAAGATCGGCTTTATATTGAATGAATTCCATCAAAATTATATTAAATTCTACAAAACCTTTTGASCAACACTCAAACCTACAAATTCACAAAATGTAGTATTCACCCAGTTATAGAAAAGTTGGACATTTWTWAATTAGAGATTCAAATACTGAAAAGAACACCGATCACGTTTTCTTTCAGGTTTTAATAGTTATTTGTTACAACGTTTTTGTAATAAGGTGTATTTATTAAACGGGTACATTTTATGGCTGATCATGCGTGYGGCTGAACCGAGTGACCTCTAGCAGGTTGCTTGTCTTACTCTTATTGTCTTGTTGTCTTGAGCTAGAGTCTCAAATAATTATAATATTGAGCAGGAATTTCTCACTTTGCTGATTTGCTCAACGTTCATAAAATGGAGATTGTTATTCACAGCTTTAATAATTCCATATTTATGGCATTKAACGTGGGTCAACATTGCGCCCCACAAGTGGTAACACTAATGGCAGAAATGTTTTAATTGTGTTTTTATAAATACGGGAAAATATGGAAAATTTAGTTTGGGCACTCTCCGCTGAATACAGTCTTTACTACGATAAAGGAATTTAGGCTTTCACAAGGATTTTACAAGGATTGTGAATGCAGTTGCCGAGAAAACTACCAACCTCAGCTGTTAAGTAATCTAAGTGAAAACGGTTTTAAATTTCTATCAAACGGGTAAGTTCGACGTCTCACTTGATTTAATATTCATCGTTGAMCCAGGATACCTTTCAATTTGAATGGTGCGACGTAYATTTTCATATAAACTTATGATTGGCCATGATAAGCCGGTAAGAACTGCGGGATGAAGCTTAAGCGCGTCGTGTAGAGTTTTGTAATTTCCCGCGTTTTGGTAGTTATTCATGCCCTTCAAAAAGGTTCAAAAAGTCGATCCAGAGGACTCATCATATTTGATCCAGTATATTTTACAAACGTTTTCTACAGAACAAGAATACAAAATGGGAACAAGAAAAACAAGATTCCCAAAGCAATTCTTGTTGGTGGCAGCCATTTTAATTTCTTTGATGTTATTGATGAAAGTGATTCAAAGTCCTTGCACAACAACTGAAAAAGTAATAGTACAGCTTCCCAATGAAGGTTTGTAAACTACTCTCGCCCATTTTTCATATCTTAAAGACAAGAATATTATCTTTATAAAAGATATTTTATCTTTTTAATCAAGAAACAGACTAGAATCACTTGTCTATCTTTTCAGCCATCAATGAACCTTTCCTGCATCTGATCATCCAGTTTCCTCTATTACTGAACGAGAATAACAGTCTTAACATCCAAGAAAGACAACAAGAGTATGTTCAAGCATTAGAGAAGAATCTCAACCATTCTTTGGTAATGTATAAACCACTGAAAGCCAGCATCTCTGAAAGCCATTTTTAAAACCACGCCTCAATCTTGTACTCGAAAAAAATGCACTACTCAACTTTTTGAAAGCTTGCTTCAGCATAAAGCAGGACTCAAAATGTGGGGTGACATAATTAAAATGGATATGGTGAAAAATAAAATAGCAAAAGTTCTCTTCAGAGTTACGTTTTTGTCTGATTCCTGACTAGAATCGGTTCTCCATATATTAAACTATGATTTAATCCTCCAGGTMGAAAAAGTACATATACTTTATGAAGACAACAGGACAGTAAAAGCCATCTCAATGCTTGCTTCTCATAATCAATGGAAAATTAATCTAGTAAACCTTGGAAAGCGAATGTACTACAGCGATGCACTGGAATACGCCTCGAGTAATTTGGCTTCTAAAACGTGTATTATWATGAATGCAGACTGCTACATAGGGAAAGGATTTGAGAAAATCGACGTTTTCACTTTACAAGAAGGCACAATATATGCATTGACTAGACGTGAGACTCCGTCGCAGATAACTTCTTGTAAGGTTAAAGACTTTTGCGGATCRAAATCCAAGTATATTGGTTCCCATGATGCTTTTGTCATAAATTTAGTAAAACCGTTGCCASGATACATATTTCGATTTTTAAACTACAGGCCTAATATCATTGGGGCTGAAAACGTTGTCATATACGTGCTTAAAAGATATGGTAATTTCCGAGTGAAAAACCCTTGTAGAATTTTACATATCTATCATAACCATTGCAGTAAAATGCGTGGGGGAGATAGATTAGTTCAAGGAAAACGACTCCCTCAGTTTCTCAAACTGCCAAAAGGACATGCTCCCTTCTCGGGACTTTGAACTCAGGACAATTCCTAGACCATTMMTGGCGGCCTCTTCGAGGGCTTCACACTGAACAAGATGTTTTTTCCGACATTTCGGAAAAATGTTTCGATTGTGTAAATAAGTAGATTTTAGGTGATAGATAGCAGATTTTTTAAAAGCTTTACTTCGACTAAGTTCCAGACTAACGTAAAAGTTGACCCCTCCCACGCTTCGCTACAAAAATTAGAAGAGGTGAGATCGGCTTTAATGCCGTAAAAACAAGAGGAGTTATCTTCACTACCGTCATAAGAGCACCATCTGAGAATAAAATACGATTTATTTCACGGAAGCAAATCTCCTTATATTGAGTATATGAATGACTAAATAAATATAGTTTGTAATAGTTATACAGATCGCTTATTCTACAAAAAATTAAGCGAATAGGCCGAAAGGATGATTGGAGTACACCACTATCATATAAAATCCGACCCAAAAGTTTATGTAGAATCTGTTGTCTTGTCCACCAGATGGACGTGCAGTACCATGAACATCAATGGTTTTCACAAGTTTGTGTCTGGCAAGAGACCAAATCAAGGTTATTTGCGACATTTGACACAAACCAGTTAACGAAGATTCATCGCCTCYACTGGACAGAACAGCCTAAAATTAGTAAGCCTGCCAAATTTGAAGGTGATGTGTCAAAAACATGAGAAGATACAGCTCTGCAAAGTCGCGAATTTTAACAGAGAATGTATGAGGGGGTGCAAACTTTTGCTTACTAATTTTAGGCTGTTCTGTCCAGTGGAGACGATGAATTTTCGTTAACTGGTTTGTGTCAAATGGCGGAAATAACCTTGATTTGGTCTATTGGCCGGAAGGGCCATTYAAAATGACGTTAAAACATAGATTTTTGTCTACTTCGACATAGGGGTGAACCTGGGCTTGGCCAACTGTCAAATAAAAAATTAATATACACTATTAACAGATGCATAACTGAAAAAAAATTCCCGATCTATCTTTGGGCTAAGCTTTAGAATACCCTGTCATTTTATAATTATCAAAATTCACTGCCACCGCGGTCCGCGATTTTTGTCTACTTCGACATAGGGGTGAACCTGGGCTTGGCCAACTGTCAAATAAAAAATTAATATACACTATTAACAGATGCATAACTGAAAAAAAATTCCCGATCTATCTTTG